TCTCTATATAAACGTGTCTATAGTATCATATCGTATCATCAGATTCACAGACGTCACCTTCAGAGGCAGGAAGGAGAGCGCCTGTTCAATCAACAGCCTCATTAATCTCTTGGAGTAGAAGATGAACTCGTCACGGTTCGTCTCCTTGTTCCTGCAACACACACACACACACACACACACACAAAGTCCATGTCTCTGTTAGGAAGTAGTTTGCTGACAATGATGTCACTTCCTGACAGAATCCACTAAGGTGTTGGGATCAGACTACAGTACTGTGGTCCAGTGTACTTGTTCTGACTGATGACACAACAACAATCAGAAATGTTTAAAAATATTTTTAAAGATCATGTAGTAAAAAATAAAACCTGAAAAAAATCATTTATTAATTAGAAAATCAATTAACAAAATAATAAATAAATAAATAATAATAAAGAAAAACTGCAGGAAAAAAACGTACGTACAGAATTCAGAGTTGTTTACTTTCTGATTCACATGATTATGTTGGAGAAGTGTGTGTGTGTGTGTGTGTGTGTGTGTGTGTGTACCTGATGATGGTGTGCATGCCACGGACCTGCGGCGTGCACTCCATGACGGTGAGGGTTGTGGGTAGAGGTTGGCCCTGATGAGCCGAGGCCAGAGCTGACCTGAGACGGACGACGAGACGGACGACAAGACGGACGACAAGACGGACGAGAATCAACTTCTGACCACAAACATCAGCTGCTGTTGAAAAACTGTCACTGTTTGAAGACAACTGCACCCCCTGCTGGCCACAACCCTCATAACACTCTACCATATTGTTGGTATATTTCTGTCTGGTTTTATCTTATTCTGATGCCTTTTTACAAAGTTTGTTTTTTAGTTTGTGACAGACCATAATCTGTGAGCCTTTAGTTTTCATCTGAAGAACTACCTCTGGTTGACGTTACGTTTCATCTCTTTTTAGCAGATGAAGATTCAGCCACTGATTAAAAACAATAATCATTTTTATGGCGTCCATAATTCCGACCTCAACGCTGGTCCCGCTCTGTTGACAGGCGGCGAGGGGCGGAGTCTCCGCCCGCACAGAGTGGAGGTGAAATACTGGCTTCATTTGTTTTGGCTGCGTCTGCCGGACGTTTACTCTGCTCACTGTTTACAGTCCAATTTCAACGGGACCACGGGTTGATCACCGAGCGTGAGTGTGTTAAACGAGGTTTGGTAATGAGGTTCAAATCTCATTAGGACGGTGACCAAATAAAACAAATTTAAGAAATAAATAAAAGGCCAAATAATCCCAAAAAACAAAAAGTTATTATTAATTATAATGAGTGATGCCTTCATTATCCTAGGAAAAATTCAGATCAGAGTTTATTTTTTTTAACACGTTCTGAGCTTAAATACTGGGAAGAGTTTCCTTCAGAGTTTCTGTGACGTCAGAGGTGACGAAACAAAAACGAGTCAAAACAAAGATAAAAAATTTAAAAAAAAGACAAAAAAAAAACCAAAGAAGACCAAAGAAATCAACAGTCGTACCTCACAGTGATCTCACGCTGGGAGTGGTAACACAGCAGGAGTCGGGTGAGGAGTCGGGTGAGGAGTCGTGGACGCAGGACACACGCACATGAAACAGAAAAGGTTTATTTTGAGTCGTCCTGTTTTGAATCTGAAGAATTACAGAATGACTGCAGACTTTTATTTTGAAAAACCTGCACCACAGGTGATAAAATAAAAGACCCTGGTTATAATAATTAATAATTTATTCTACAGCTCCCTGTCAGTAACAATAATATTTATAGCTTTCAAAAAATAAATATTCTTAGACACTTGGGCCAGAGAGACTGTGGTCAGATGGTGGCGCTCACCTTCTCCAGCTGACTGTGAACGTGCTGAACAATCAGATCCAAGGCTACAAAGTTGTCACCACCTGTCAACGAGACACAAGCGACGTGAGGTCTTTGACTACCCATAATGCCCGGCGGCATCCATTCATTTTCCATTTTCAAGCTCTCCAAAAGCACATAGCGAAGTCAGAGAGTGTCAAAGGTCGTCGAAGAAGTTCATGTACGACAGACTGACCTTTGACCTCTGTACTGACCTCTGGGCACCACGATGTCGGCCACCTGCACCGTGGGCTCGATGTACTGCTCAAACGCGGGCTTCACAAACTTGTTGTACTGCTTGATGATGCCGCTGATGTCACGGCCGCGGTGGGAAATGTCCCTCTTCAGCCGCCGTATGAGTCGGATGTCTGAGTCTGTGTCCACGAACACCTTCATGTCCAGGAGCTGAGGGGGGCCACGGGGAGACGGGGGGTCAAAATAAGACAAACAGAAATTTATTCTCCTGACAAATGACTTAAAAAAAACAAAAAAAAAAACAGCCTCAACTTCACACTGGTTTAGTTTTACAGCTGGTTCTCTGGCTAACCTTCGACTACTCGCGCTAATGATCAGCAAAATTTAGAAACTGGCGACACCATACGTATCACGATACGTATCACGATACGTATCACGATACGTATCACGATACGAGGGCAACATGTGTCGAGGTTGTTTTTTTCCACCAGTGTAACTGCAGTGTCATCGTAGTAAAGAACAGTTTGACAGCTGAAGTCACACAGGGTGACGGTCCCTGAGGACATGACCTCTGACCTTCACTCATCACCTCCTGTAAGAGGAGGAGGAGCCGATCCGTCTGAACCTCCGTCACTGCAGCAGAAATCAATGAGGCAGCGTCGCCACAACAAAGAGGCCGAGGAAAAGAACAACTGACCACTGTTGAACTGTGTGTGTGTGTGTGTGTGTGTGTGTGTGTGTGTGATTTAGAGACCCAGGTATAACTCAGTCACACAACCAGCCTCTGGATCCTGCGTCGGCCGTAAATCTAATAAAAATGGCCGACCAAAGATGGCAGGTTGCTGGTCAGGCAGGACGGTCAGGGTGAGGGGGCAGACGGGTGAGGGGGCAGACGGGTGAGGGGGCAGACGGGTGAGGAGTGGACAGTTTTCTAACACCTAACCTTCTGCTGCAGAAACGTTGCCTTTGTTTGTGTCGTCAAAAAAAAAAAAAAGCTGACGCCGACATTTTCAACTCAAACAGGAAGTTGAAGGTTTCTGTGGATGTGGAGTCAGTTGATGGACACACACACACACACACACACACGCCCCCCTACTCCTCCCCCCACCACTACATCACATCAGCATTAATTGACTTCACTTCCAAGAACAGTGACAGTTCATCTCTGTGGACCACGGCTGTTTGGGGGATAATCAGCTCCACAGCTGGGTCTCAGGGGGGAGAGAGAGGGGAGAGAGAGGGGGAGGCACCCGGCCTTATCTCCACACTCCAGATCACACACTCTTTTTTCCTCCCAACCTCCCGCCATAAACCGTTAGTGTTTTATGGCGAAGGAGGACAGAGTGAGGGTGGTCTTTGGTCGGTGGTCTTTGGTCGGTGGTCTTTGGTCGGTGGTCTTTGGTCGGTGGTCTTTGGTCGGTGGTCTTTGGTCGGTGGTCTTTGGTCGGTGGTCTTTGGTCGGTGGTCTTTACCTTCAGGAGCTCCTTGTTGGCGAAGGCCAGGATTCCTTCGAAGACGACCACATTGGCTCCGTACACAGTTTTCTGTCAGGGTTGACAAAGACTAAAACGTTAAACTGTGAACTGAACAGTGACAGGACGGAGAAGAAAACATCTCCAACCAAATGAATACAAAAAAGATTTAAAATAAAGACCTAACTCCAACACCCCCTCTGCCCCCCCCCCATATTAATTACATTCAGTGCAGCACAAAAGAAGAATAAAATTATTTTATTCAGAGTCCGAGGGGAGTGGGGGTGAGAGTGAGGGGAGGAGGAGGGGGAGGGGCAGGGGGAGGTTCTCTGTTGTTTCCTTTCAGCCATGAAATTACACAGCAGTGAAATAAAGACGATCTGTCACAGAACCACACTGCAGAGCTGCTGCTGCACAAGGACCAGTGAGTGTGTGTGTGTGTGTGTGTGTGTGTGTGTCCTCCTCTCTGAGTGGGTTAATGTCCTCTTCACTAAATCCTTCATAATTAGCAAATTAGCCAGCATGTCAATTAGCACAGTCTGAAAGGACTGGTACCGATCCCTCAGGGAGGTCACTGATGCCTTCAATCCTGTGGGAAAATAATAAACGACTCAACTTCACTGTTTCATTAAGTCTAAGGAGTGTTTCCTCTGAAGTGAACTCATCCTGGTTTTTACCACTGGGAAACGTGACCCTGAACATCACACCGACATGTTGTAGCTGCGTTCAAAGACCCACCGCGAAATGGGAAAAATGGCCAAGTACGGGGACTCCTTTCTGCCGTTGTTTTACTTTGTTGTCGTCAGTTAGATCAGCGAACTCACCCACTCCTTCCGTCTGCAGTGAGACGTGAAATCGTACACGGGGACTTTGATGCTCTTGCCTTTCTTCAGTTTACGCAGGACGTTGACGAGCAGTTCAAAGTCGAAGGCGTCGGGGTGATCGAAGTTGTACTCGTTCTTGGCTGCCAGCTCCTGCTCCTCTTTACTCAGCACCTGGGAAACACAGAGGGAACAACCGCGTCTAGAGGTTTGAACATTTCCAAAGGCATTTCAGTTGTTGTCTCCTTTGAAATCTGAACTTTCAAAGTCAAACACAGTCTATCATCACCTGTGTCCACCTCAGTTGGCTCCTCCCCCCTGACCACCACACCTGTCAGCTGGTCAACACATTACAGTTCACACCTTCAGCAGCTTGAGGTCTGTGACCTTGTGACCTTCTCAGCGCCTGCTGAAATCAAACTTCCTGCGGCGTATTTAGAATATTCTCTTTACAGCTGGCATGCACGGACAACCTTTATGCCAAACACGTGGCCCGTGGCCACGGCCGCAGCAGGAGCATAAAATAAAATGGCAGCAACTCATCTGTTAAATTGAATCTTAAAGGAGTCTGAGCAGAGGAGGAGGAAATGAGAACCAAAACATTCACACCGGGTCAGAACCTCTGCACAAAGAAATAAGGATTTAGGATGGCGACCGTGACTGTACCAGTGTCGGCCTCTGGTATCTGTACCTTGTAGAAGGAGTCCATGGAGAGCAGAACCACCCAGGGAACGTCCAGAGCTTCAATGATCTTATTGGCTACTGTGGTTTTACCAGACGCACTTCCTCCACACAGGCCTACAACAGGAAACAGGAAGTAGATGCAACATTATTTTCTACACCTGAATCCAAATATTATACTTTTTAGTAACCGCCCCCCCCACATCTTTGTGTTCTGATTACTGGCTAACCTATAGCTACAATTGCTAACTGATTTTTTTGTAATTTTAATAATTTAGAGCAAACTTTAAGTCCAAAACGACACGCTGTCGGTTGATTGGTTTATATAAAAAGGAAGGTAAACAGGTGTGTGTGTGTGTGTGTGTGTGTCACTCACACACTACAACAAACCAGTCTCAGGTGAGTCTTGTGTTCAGAGAAAACTGTTAAAGGTCAGAAGTGTGAGACAAGAAAACTAAACATGATGACAGTCTGCGACCACAGGAGGGAGACATTTCCCAGTTTCCTTTCTCTCGGTCTCTTTACATCAGCTCCATTTCTCTGACAGTAAGTTCTTCAACCAGCAGCAAACACACACACACACACACACACTCCGTCAGTCCACAGTAACAGATTGTCTACTCCCCCCTCCCTCTCCCCCCGCTCCCCCACAAATTCCCAGTAAAGCCCATCAGATGTGTTTATCCACGGAACATTGGCTTTACAAATGGACACACAGACACACAACCTCACGCTCCCTCCCTCACACACACACACAGAGTCTATGTGTCACGGTTCACTGCACTGCTGCGGGGGCCAACCCTGGGGCTGATCTGTTACTGCACTGATCAGCAAGAAGTCCAAAAGTCATTATTTAAAAAAAAATTAAATTAATAAATGAACAAGTGTTTCTTGTATTTATATTCATAGAGAAGAAATAAAAGCAAATTCATATGAACCAGCAGCAAATAAAAATTATGATTTTAAAAATCTTTATTTTGCACATAATTTAAAACAAACATCATTAGAAATAATGTTTTTTTTGTTCAGATTGTGTGGTATTGTTGTCCTGGTCCAGGTGATGTCACCGTCTTCTAAAACCTATAACGTTTGAATTTATATTTGGAGTTTTCTCGCTCTCTCACCGATAACAAAGGCCTCTTTGAAGGTCGTCCCGGTGACGTTGTACCACGGCGGCCTGCCGGCGGTGTAGATCGTCCGCTTGTTGGTCCTCAGCAGAGGAGGCATAGATTTGGACCCACTTGTAGTTCGCTTCCCCGGCGACAGGGACGGCGTCAGAGGGCAGCGGGGGATGCAGTTCATGACCCCGTCCAAGGAATCATCTCCACTGCCACTGACGTAGAAAAGTAAACACAAAGTGGAGCAGATGTAACGCGACACCGAGGTAACAATGAGCAAATGAAGCTCTTTATATTCTATAGATGTGTTGCCATCAGAGATGCCTTGTCAGCTCATAGTTGACCCCGAGCTGCTGCTGATCCTTCACAGGCATTTTAATGTCGATGCAAAGTTTCTGCAGCTTCCCTCAAAGTCATCAACTGTTTCTGGCCAAACGGAGCCAAAGACTGAACTTCAGATTTGAATCTTCATTTCAGGACAGTTTCCAGACTTTGAAGAAACTGCAGGAACTTCTATGTCCTGCAGAAAGACGACAGAAGGACCCTGTCCTCCAGCGTGTCCCTCTGCTCTGTCCTCTCTCTACAGTCTATGCTGTTGGTGTGTTTGAGGGGGAGGAAGGGAGAACTTGCCGAACCCTCCCCAGGAAAATCACACCACTGCCCAGGATGCAGCGTGGCCCAGTGTGGGGCCTCCGTTCACATGAGTAAGGCTGTCATCACTTGGCCATGAATCATGATTTATTTATTTATTTATTTTCTACGACTGAGAAAATTCAAATGGCCTTCAGATCAACGTGTTCCCGTTTCCCGTGTTCGTGGGGGTGCGTTTGTGTGCAACCGGTGTTACCACGGGTTTAAAAAAGATCAAGATCTCGGACATGTAGGAATTCGTTTTATTTTGTGCCTTTAAAATTAATTTGATCTTACTTAGCCCCGTGTTCATGTGTTTGTCAGCGGAATCTACGCCGCTGCTCAGACAATGCAACGTATGGTAGTGATGCTAGCGGAGTTAGCTTAGCTCGTAACTCGACTTCTTCCTCCCAGATCCCTCTCCCTGGGACATTTGTCTATTTGGTCATATTTCTTTTTTACGTTGTTACCTGTCGGAGCGGGACATGGATCTCTCTGTCTCCACGCCCTCGTCTAACGGCACTTCCTCCGGTTTACAGTCGCTGCTGGATATTTCCATATCGGCTCGATGGAGCTCAAAGCGGCGCGGAAAACAAACACTGAAAACGTCATGACGTCAGAGGATGTGAACTGACGATGCGTTTGCGTCCATCGGACAGAAAAGTAATTCTGCTTGTTCTCCGCATCCATGTGAAACATTTGCAAAGCAGATATTTCGATTATTTAAGTAAACTTATAATTACGTTTTGGATAAATTAACACAATATTCACAAACGTGATGACGTAAACATTATGTCATATACACATTAGGAACGTGATAAAACTGAAGTGAAGAAGTGTACGCTGTGAACGCATCATTGCTGGTTAACCCGCTGGTTAACCCGCTGGTTAACCCGCTGGTTAACCACAACAAAGTAAAATCAAGATGCAAATTCTGACGAAAAAAGTGAAATTGGCCTGGAATTTTCTAACGCATTCCTTTGTAATTTAATGTGGAATTCTGGTTGTACCTTGAAATTTGTCTCTATTTTTTATAAATATACTAAATAGTATGTATTTAAAATAAAAGCTAACCTATAATGGTTTGGATTTTATATTGCATAAAAAATAAAATAATGAAAAAAAAACATTTTTTTCCTTTCAAAATAAATGCCACATCTTTTAAACGCTGTTAAATAAATCTTTCTGCAGGAAGTGACCAACAGTATGTGCTCTGTAATAAAGGAGTGGGAATATTTGACATTTATGGCGACCCCTGGACAGTGACGATGATGGACTGGGTTTAAAGTCGTCTTCCTTTCTGTCCTGCTCCTGAGAAGCACCGACATCATTGAACTGATGTTCGTCCAGTGACTGCGGCAGGTGATGTCGTCGTCCACTTACAGCAGCTGCAGTGTGTTTTAACTGAGTCTTCATCTCCCTCATCATCATCATCATTGTCGCGGCTTTATGATCGAGGCTACCAACCAAATGAAAGTCTCCCCCCGCCCCTCTTTTCTCCCCCTCCCCTCTCCCCCTGCTGCAGCGCAATGAAGGAATTGTAATTCCTCTGTATTTCTGGTGAAAAGTCACTGAAGCTGCTCACAATCACAGAACAGCTGAGGATGATGTTGAGCAGGGAGAAGATGATGAAGAAGATGATGAAGATGATGATGATGATGAGAGCTCAGCTCACTTTTCTTCCCCGCGTCCACCACTGAGGAACCAGGGACGAACCGGAACCTGTCGGAACTCCTGCAGCTGCAGCAATAAAAAAAAAACAAAAAAAAACATCTTTACCTTCCCCAAATTTTTTGTTTCCTGCCCCAGACTGGACACAGACACACACAGAGGTGTAGGACCGGGACTGGACCGCACACCAGGGCTGGACACATGGATACTAACGCTGCAAACTCGGAGAAATCTCACCTGATACACGAGAAGAACGCCAAAATGTACTCTCTAAAACTGCAAAGGTGGGAGAAAAAATGTGCATGGAGGAGAAATGGAGTAGACATGCAACACATTTAGTATTGCAGTTAAAAATATTGTAGTATTTGTATTTTCAGTGTTTATAAAAAGAAAATGAAATGGCGCATAAATAGGGAAATTAGTCTAATTTTTATGGTCTTTTAAAATTAAAACAGATATTCAATTATGACTCAAATTAAAAAAAAAAAACAACTTTGATGAAGTGCATTTGTAGTGAGTCGGTGGAAGCTTTTTTTTTTTTTTTTTACATTTTTCGAATACAAAACTAAAAAGTGCAGAATCCGAGGTTTTGCGGCTGAAACAACTGCCTCAGTTACCATGTGGTGCGTGTTTAGCGCTCGTCGACTGCTTCAGTTACCATGTGGTGCGTGTTTAGCGTGCGTGTGCATGCGGGTTCGTGCGTGCGTGCCGCTGTTTTATGTGAATGAACAAATTCATTTCCACGCCTGGCTTGTTTCTGGACAGGCCCTTGACAAATGGCCCCGGGCCCCAGTTCAACGAGCAAAGCTAAAAACTCATCATGTGACATTAGGAAGAGACAGAGAGCAGCGCGTTCACCGCGCACGACACGTGCACGAAGCCGTGGAAAGGAATAAAAAATCAGAAAACGTGTATTTGTCCCGCAGTGAAGACATTTGCAGAAAATCCAACTCAAGTCCGTGAATTTAGATGAAACAAAAAAAGAAAATGAAAATGAAATAAATACAAAACAGACGACGGTTTGTTTAAAAACACTACTGCAAAAAAGACTGAAGAAAAAAATGTTTAAATCATTTTTAAATAAAAAAGGCCTTTAAAAAACGAATGAAACACAATGGAAATTTTTTACCGTATGTTTACTTTTAATATAAAATATAAAATTATGACTAAATAAAATACATTCACATACGCAAAGATTTTGTCCAAAAAAAAAAAAAAAAAAATCTGCACAAAAACAGCGTCCATGTTTAATGTACTGCAGGAAGTATGGAGTAAATAAAACACTGATATTTAATTAAGGATTTCCTCGTTTCCAGTGTCAGTGAAGGCCTCACGGAGCTCCTGATCAATACCTGTTCTGGTTGCTCCAGACGTTCACGATCTCAACTCTTTTCTTTTTTCTTTTTTTACATCGACGATGCGACAAATTCAGCAGCGCTGCAGAAATACGGTTATTTTTTATTAAACATTATAAATAAATATTTAAATATTTCTTTTGCTAAATTTGTCCCTGCAGATTTTTTTTTGGCGTCACGAAAACTGTATTAAAAAAACCCGTGTATTTCTGCGGCTGTGTGTTTGTTAGTGCGCGTGTCTGTCCGTGTGAGACACAGCTGTACATACGGTAACACACACTTTGGATTTCATGCACCATTTGCAGCCTCTCTGTGTGTGTGTGGTGTTTGTGTGTGTGTTTTCCACAGCTGACTCTGCAGCTGCAGCACACACTGAAGCAGAATGTTGTATTTATACTGCAAATATCTACAGTACTACGTGTCGGAGAGGACGTGTATTTATATATATATATATTTAATACATTGTAAAAAATTTTTTAAATTTAAAATTTTCCTGTACAAAAAAATTTAAGAATTATTAATGATCAAAAATCCCAACATCAAATACAGCGATGATAGTTTCTCATGGCGACCCTCATTAATGACGTCGGGGGTCATTAACCAATCACAGTGTTTGTCTTCTCTACCACATAAATCAGATGTTCCAGGATCCGTCCTCCAAACAGTTCTGGATCCTGGCACAGCTGAGAGAGAGCGATGCTTCAGGGTGAACTCAGACTAGAACTCAGACTTTATATCCCATCTGCTCCGGGAACGTCTCAGGATTCCCCTGGAGGAGCTGGCAAGAACTGCAGGGAATAAAGGAACACCTGGAACAACTAGTCTCTGTAACTGTGGACGAGTGCTAAAAGGACCGGACGGAACTAATGGACTTTTTTATGTCCTCTAAAATCACCTGTTCCTAAATTTCTGACCTTTAAGTTGTATTACTGCCACCTAGTGGGTGTATTATTGACTATTACAGCCAGTGGTGTCCTGTCCTCCTGCAGCACGGTGTAAAAGAGAAAATACAGAGAGAGGGCAGAAATGAATCTTCATTCATCATTAGGTCACAGAGTGGTTCTCAAACTGTGGGGCGCTTCCCCGGTGTCCCCCTCCTGTGATGTCACTTCCATCCACTTATACGTATGGTTCCCAAAGTGGGGGGCGAACGTGCCCTCCCTGATGAAACCCAACCTGGGTTTTGGGGACCAGGTGGTAGTGAATCTGCCACCTTGTGGTGGCAGGTGGAGTTCCTACCACTGCACCACTGGGATCATGGCTGCATACATTAACTCAGGAGGGGTGTCCCTGCTCCCTCCATCAGTTTGGGGGTCCGTGGTCCTTGGAACTTTGCAGGCCCCTGATGTAGACGACCGTCAGAGACGTCTTCGTCCCTCAACGTCTTCTGCTGGCTGCAGGTGTTGTTATGGCAGCGAGCGATAAGGCCTTTACGACGCTGTGATAAAAATGACTGCAGCTGTAATTAAATTCTTGAGGTTTCGTTTTTTTTTCTTCTTTTGTTCCCTGCAGCCTCGGTGATGTTCCCGTGTTTATTCCACAGATCAGTGGAACACGGTGGAACGTTCCCTCAGCTCCCACTTTGTGTCCCGTGGCGTATTGACGAACACATCAGCTCCACTCAGACATCAAATTTAGTATTGAATTCTTTTCACGGCCGATTGGTTTCATCTGTCAGTGTGACCATGGTCCAGGACTATGGTC